CAGTCATATGACTGTCGAGCCACTCCCACAAAACAGGCCACACCTACAGAATAGGTTCTAAAAAATTTGAAACCCACCACTGGTCCAGGTGCTTGAGAATCGGCTCTTCAGCAAAGAGTCCTTTGTCACGTGTTTTATTGTACTGTGAATTATACAGAGTTTATAGGTCAGCATATATTCTTCCCTTACTAGAGAGATTGCCAGGTAGGGCAGACAATTTTTATGTAGGCTTTCTCCTCTAGGACTCAAACCCGTCTACCACGCATGCAGTGGCAAAATTCTGTGTTGCTGCAATGTCCACAAGAAAAAAATTGGTTACAGAGTTATAGCTGTCAACGTATCATTTTTTTGGAGATATCTCTAACAATTTTTGGAACATTATATTTACTCACATACTTATTGGCTTTTCACCCATGTAAGCTAGGGAGTGACCCTAACAGTTTGAGAACATGTATTTTCTTGACAGGGATGCTATTATCCACTATTAATGTCAGTACTATTTTTTTAATATATTGTAAAAAGTTATGTCTATTGCTGGTCTATGACTGTAATAAAGATATATTCTATTCTTTTCTTTTCTATTCTATTCTATTCCAATCATCCCCCTATTTAATCTGCATCCAGTAGTATGCCTCCTACAGATGTAATTTGGTAAAGATTTTTCTTTTTGCCAAGTGGGCCAGCTTGTCCTTTATTAGGGGGAGTTGGTACATATTTTCCACGCATAAGGTGTTAATCCCTCTAAAGTCTATGCACAATCTCATCATTCCATCTTTCTTTTCTTTAAACTATACTGCCGTGGTTACTCACAACTTCACTGGCTGTACAAATCTTCTTGCCAGGTTCTTAGTGATATATTCCCTTAGTTCCTTCATTTCTCTAGGGGTCATAGAGTATAGCTTTGCCTTGGGTAGTTTGGCACTGGGTAGGATCTTGATTGCACAGTCAGTAGGTCGGTGAGGGGGTAGTGCATTGCATTCTGCCTTGTTGAAAACCTCCTTTAGGTCCCAGTATTACTGGGGGAATTGATATCTAGCCTTATTGGTTCAGTAAGGAGTGTGATGGGAACTCCCCCTATCAGTGATTCATCAACCTGCTCAAACCTCATGGGCTGGGGTAACTTTTTAGCTCTGATGCCCAATTTCAGAACTGTCTGCAAAGTGGTTGAGCAGTGGGTTCAGCCTGAGTCTATTAAGGCATCCACAGCCCCTGAGCCCTGGATTTTGGTAGTAAGAGTCTCGTGGGGATAGTGAAGGGGCGGATGGCCTCACTTACCATCAAGTTGTCCTTGTCCTCCTTTTTGCTGTTGTAGGGAGCAGACTGCTGGATGTCCTGGGCCAGAGTTCTCCCTCCCTCAGGAGGCGGGACGAGAGGCCTCAATGGCTTGGAGAACAAGTTTCCCCTTCTCTCTCACCTTTCATTGGAGCTTCTTTGACTTGGTGGCCTCTGGTGGTTTTCCCCTCAGCTGGGGGGCTAAGGCTAGACACTTGTCCACTCTATCCCTTGCTGGCCATTACGGAAGCACTTGATGGGCAGTCCCAATGCTCCACTGGAGGGGTCCATGGCTTGTCTGGGAGTTGATTGCCTGCCACATTGGTGCTTCTCCTGGCTGGCCTTCAGTTTTTGCTCCATGGCTCCACATTTCTTGTATCGCTTAAGTTTGCGGTCTATTGTCACCGTCATCCAATACCACTCATGGATCCGATCGGGGACTCCTCTGTAGACACACACATGAAGTAGCTTGTGGTCCAGGCCCTCTTTAAAGAAGTAGACTAGTAGTCTCTCTGGCCACTGCTAGGAACATTTAACATGTTCATTGGATACATCATATCGGCGCAGCCAGTAAAAACCAACTCTAAAAGTTTCCTGTGGTTACCATGTAATTAAAAGAAAAAAAGTCCCCCCCCCCCAGGTATCACATGTCACATTGTCCAATCAAAGCAGATGATGGCTCCCTTAATCACTTCTGCTCCTCCTCCAAGGGTCACCTCCAAGGGTTACTCAGTGAAGCGGTAGAAGTGATGTGCCAGTGCCTGGAGGCTGTTAGGGTCTGGATGGGAGTAAACAAGCTGGCA